AGTGGGTCAAAACTTTTGTCCTCGCGATGTAATCATAGTATCAGGGGCGCAAAACCCTATTCTAATTATTCAGGCCCCTATATTAGGCATGTGCGCTCAGCGTAGGAAACTCGAGATCCATGTCTCAATGCTGACTAGATAATTATCCGATGTCTTCAGAAGCATCACTAGAGGCCTCGTCCCGGAACCTCTAATGAACTCTCATGCACCACCCAAGCAAGAAGCAGGCGGCCATCCAAAACATGTCTCGAATTCTGACAGGAGGTTTTCAAGACTTCAATGCTCCTTGTGGCGGCTGCGGTAGTGGCTGTGGCGGCGGCTGCGCCCTTGGCGGCTGTGGCGGAGGCTGCGGCAGTGGCTGCGGTGGTGGTTGCAGTGGTGGCTGCGGTGGTGGCTGCGGTGGCGGCTGCGGTGGCGGCTACGGTGGCGGCTGTGGAGGTGGCTGCGGTGGTGGCTGTGGTGGCTGTGCTGGGGGCTGTGGCGGGGGCTGCGGAGGGGCTTGTGGCGGTTTCAACGGCGGAATTCCCGGAGTGAGTTCTTCGATGCACGGCGGCAGCTGGTGACTTCGTGGTTCTTTTGTGGCTTATGGTTTATGTTCATGGCTTATGGTTTATGGTTTATGGTTTATGAGGCCACGGGTTTCGAATGATCGACATCGGCATAAGAAGGTACTGCCATGGCGGCCAGAGTAGCAGAGTTCATTGTCCGACCGCATAGCAGGCAACTTTGGAGGCAACAGGGATACCCAAATATACAACATGGACTATGCAGCAATACACCATGATATACCATAAGATGCTGTAATATATATTATAGGCTATACTTTACTCTTCTCTACTCTACTCTACTCTATTCTATTCTAATCTACTCGATTGTATTTTACTCTTTTCTATTCTATTGAATTCTACTCTATTCTATTCTACCCTCTTCTACTCTACTCTATCATGTTATACTCTGTTATTTTTATACTATATTAAAGTATACTGTCCTGTATTACACAAGACAGTATGTTATAACATATTATAATCTGTTCTATTATATAATGTTCTGTTCTGGCCTGTTATACTATTCAAACTTCATTTTATTTAGTCTACTGTGCTTTAGTATGCACGAATATACAAGAATATGCTATAGTACATCTTAATATACCATAGCACACAGCAAGTTCATGTTGCAGGGCTTCCTGAGTTCAGGTCCTCGAAGCCCAAGCCCTAGACTCTAAGCTTTCAAAGTCTTCTAAGCTTTCCGGGTTTCGGGTTGAGGGTTTAGGGTTCAGGGTTTAGTGTGGGTTGCGGGTTTAGGGTTGAGGGTTCAGACGCAAACCCTCTCAAGCCCTAAACCTCCAAACCTGGACCTAAAGCCTAAAACTGGATCCTAAACACTAAACCCTAAAAGCTGGGGTTTAAGCCACTGAGATCCAAACGAAGCCTAGGAATCCTGAGCTGTGGGCATTCCGACAACGGTTTCCTATGGACGACCACGCGTTCCAGTCCCTCGTCCGTTTTTTTTTTGCGGATTCCCTAAACTCTAAACCCCGAAACCCTAAACCCCTAAACCCTGGACCCTGAGCCCTAAGCCCTTTTTCCATAGCCTAAACCCCCTAACCTTAAGCCCTAAACCCAGAACCGTAAACCTAAGCCCTTTTTCCCGAAGCCTAAAAAAAAAACGAAACCCCTGGATCCTCGACCTAAGCCCTCTTTCCCGAAGCCCTTAACCTTAAGCCTAAACCGAAGCCCTTACCGTGCGTTTAGGGTTTAGGGTTTAGGGTTTAGGGTTTAGGGTTTAGGGTTTAGGGTTTAGGGTTTAGGGTTTACCCTGGATCCTAAATCCTTAAAGCCTTACTTCCAGACCTCTTCTTCAAGCTTCGAAGGATGGGTTGTCTTGGCAGCTTTGGCATTCAGGGTTTAGGGTGTAGGGTTTAGGCTTTAGGGGTTTAGGGTTTAGGGTTTAGGGTTTAGGGTTTAGAGACCTTTTGGGCTTTATGTAGGCTTTTGAGAGGTTAGGGTTCGGGATGGTTTTCTGGGGGAGTCTCAATCCCTAGCAACCTGAAATTAAGCCACCGGGCAGAGAAGTGAAGAGGGTTTAGGGTTTAGGCTTTAGGGTTTAGGGTCTAGGGTTTAGGTCTTTCATTCTGTTCCCGTCGAACAGGTACATCGTCATAGAATGTACCCGTCGTGCGTAGTCATTCGGTACCCTACACGCTTGTCTGAGACCAGCAAGCATACTCCAATTGGGGGGGATCCCTGTCTGCAATCTGTTTCAGATCCAAGTATCTAGAAACCTCGCCACGTCTGCTGATATTAAGCCGTAGGCCTTAACCGTACGCCCTAAACCTGAAACTTTACAAAACCCTCAAAACAAAGATGCCAGCAGTTACACTCCCAGTATCCTCTGAGTTTTCTGGCTGGGCGCTGGCTTTGGGTTCGAATGTGCAGGGCAGATGTGGTTTCGCGGAAGATGGACCCTAAAACCCTAAGCCCTATATAAACCCAAAGCCCTAGACCCTCCCCTAAACCCTACACCCCAACCGCTAAGCCCCAAACTCTAAACCCTAACCCCAAGCCCCTCAGCCCCAAACCCTAACCCCTGTTGTTGTTCTTACTATTGTTACTACGATTACTTAATTATTGTTATTGTTATTGTTTTTATTACTACTATTATTAATATGATTGTCACTATTATTATTGCTATTATTAGTATTAGCCTATTTTTGTTTTTACGATTATTATCGCTTTTTCTACGGTTATTACTAGCAATGTCTTTGTTTGTAGTTTTGCAATGCATGAAACTCCCGTTGTTATTGTTATGGTGATGTTGTTGATGATGACCATTACGATTACGATAGGTACTGTTAGTATCGCCATTTCTGCTGTTGTCACGCTTACAACTAATATTAGTATTATTGTTACCCTAAACCCTAAACCCTAAACCCTAAACCCTAAACCCTAAACCCTAAACCCTAAACCAAGTCTTCAACTTGTCCCCAGGTTCCTGAGCAATGCGCCTGCACACGCGCAGCAAGCGGTGATGCAATCCTTTGCTCCCAACCGCCAGGACAAGGGCTTTAGGGTGTAGGGTTTAGGGTTTAGGGTTTAGGGTTTAGGGTTTAGGGTTTAGGAAGGGCCGCAGGTGATCTTGTTCTCTCTTTTTAGGGTTTATATAGGGCTTAGGGTTTATATTCTTTAGCTACTAGTACTATGCATATGAATATACCTCAAAGCCCCAGATACTTAATATCTTGTTGAAGATGAAAAGTATCACCAAACTTGCAAGCGCGTTTCAGCCGGCCGATGCAAAAGTCGTAGTAGCTTCGGGTTTAGGGTTTAGGGTTGCCGTGTCGGTTCTTCAACAGCTGCCACATAGCTGCGCTGACTCTTCGCCAGTCGCGCTATCCCACCCTTAACACCCCAAACCAGTACACTCAAACTGGGGCGGGAGAGTCGTGCGGGCAGAAGGCCACTGCACTGAAACCTCGAACCCTAAACCTTCAAACCCTGAGCCATGCAACACACCACAGACGGCCATCTTCTAACCCAATGGGCCAGCCAGTGCCCCATCCTGGAAACAGGACACCGACTACTCTGCACTGGCCGCTCGGTTTAGACTCTGCATGTGGGAAGAGTAGTTAACACTATGAGTGCGATTCTGAGTGCTTGCATTAACTTCCACTGTTGCCAGTATCGAACGATGATTAGTGTGCTCTGGTTAGTCACGACGTTTCTGATTGTATGATTCTGATTGCGATTACACTTATGATCATGGTCATGACTTTGAATATGTCTGCGACTGGGACTATTTCTGATCATTATTAGTACTCTCATTCTTTTGGCGGGTGTTATTCTGTTTGAGAACAGAGTTAGTCAGTACGAAGCATGATTATCTTCCTGCTGTTATCATGTATTGCGGTTTTGTGTTTATGAGTATGGTTATAAGTGGATTTACATGCTGATGATGGCGATGATGGCGATAATGCTGCCGATGATGCTGATGATGAAGGTTGTGACTCTTGTTCGTCGCAGTTGTTGTAGTTGTAGTTGTCGTTCTTTTTCAGGTTGTTGCTGTTGTTGTGGTGGTTGTGTCCTCCTCCTCCTCGTCCTTCTCCTCCTCGTCTTTGTCATTTGTCGTCTTCGCTGTGGTCTTGCTGAAGCTAGCGCTATTCACTTTCGCATCTTCTTGTGATTGCATCAATGGCTATGACAAAAATATCACGAAAGTAGGAGAAACAAAGACAAGCTTGTTTATGCTGCTCTCCTCAACGTTTAGACAGTAGAAGCGTTAAGGCTTTTGGATCTTCAATTTTAGGTTTGTAGGGGTTGAGCTTTCCGCGATTCAGAGCCTTGGTGTGTAGGGGT